GACACCGGGCGCAGCTGTGCTGGGCCGCCCGACTCCAGGCTGCATACCTTTAGTCAGAAATCGCGGTTCGCTCAATATTTTGGAATTGTTCATTGTTAATAGTAGCTTTGTTCTTTACCACATATTTTTATATACTTTATAAGAAAATGCTGACAAAGTGTATCGCAAATTGTAGGTTTCGCAAGAATACATTGAAAAGAAGGAAAAACAATGGCAGCAAAAACGTGAGAAGCCACGTCTCACGGTACGCCAGCAGCAGATCAAGAAAGACAACGAAATGTGGGAAAATAATCGCTTGGCAAGATCAGGTTAGTTAACCGCATGAATCTTACTACTTCACAAATCAGTTATTTTCATGCTGCTCAAGAAAATTACCAATGTCTTTTCATTCTTTACGTTTTCTATTTTCTGGTTGCTTTCAGCTTTACCTTCCGGTTTTTTCTGGCACAAGGCGCAGTTTTAAATAGTGCTGCGAAAGTACAGTGGGTCCATGGTTTTATCTTTCCAGTGGAATAACTAGGTCCTCTACGATTCGTTCATTCATTTCGACCGTAAACTGGTACTGAGGCATACCAAGGCTCCAAACGTACCGGAAATTGCTTGTGAATAACCATCGATAGCCTTCTCAATGGGTATTTGCTGTTAGAGCCAGTACTATTGGACTAGTTCCGACTGCCTCCATTGCTGGTCAAGTGTGAACTGGAGGGGATTTTGTCACTGATTAAAAGCATGCTTGATTGCAGGTGTTGTTTCGTTAACCGATGAACAGAGTGATTTCTTTGACGATGAATCGGACGAGAATCGAGTGACACTGCTTGTGCAGAATGTTGTGCCGCCGTTTCTGGATGGAAGATTTGTGTTCACGAGGCAAAGTAAACCAGTTGTTCCGGTGAAAGACGCGACCTCCGATCTCGCTGTTGTTGCCACAAAAGGAAGCAAAGTTAGTTTTCAGTGAAACTGAAGGGCAGATGTTTCCAAGCTGTCTTCAGAAATTGGATGTCAGTAATGTCATAAACCTGCGAGATTTAGAATTTTCATGATAGTTATGCTTAGGAGACATTGAATATCTGTAATTCATACTCTCAGTCCTCAGCTTTGCAGCTTGGTGCTTTTTCATTGCTTTGGCCGTGCTGCTTCACATGGTGGGCAGCTTTCTAGTGATTCTGACATTCGCAAGGATTAATACCTGAGCAGTTTCCTTGAAAGAATCAACTGGTACAGGATTAGCCGTTTCAAATCACCTTATACCGAATGTTGCCATTCTTAGTCCACAGAGAGATATCTTGCCAACTGGATGGCTTTATAGGTCTTTTGTATTGTCTTTTTTTGATAACGACTGAACTGCTCTCAGGTTGTCCG